ACACATACACACACACACACGCATACAGACACACACACATACAGACACACGCATACAGACACACACATACACACACACACACGCATACAGACACACACACATACAGACACACGCATACAGACACACACATACACACACACACACGCATACAGACACACACACACACATACACATACACACAGACACATACAGACACACACACACATACACATACACACACACACATACACAGACACATACAGACACACACACATACAGACACACACAAAGTGGTGCAGCACATGGTCGCCTTAATTGATTATTATCCTATTCTCTATATCTTTTGTCCAAAGCATCCCATAATAAGATGGCTGCCACTGTTTCCAGCTGGGCCCTAATAGCTAACGGGGATAAGTAAGCGAGCTGGGCGGCGTGTCATCAGGGCCGTTCACATGCCCTGTGCCTCCATGGTGTCCTGCAGGTGTTTGGAGTGTAACGAGGAGCTGTCCACACACTGCAACAAGAAGGTCCTGGCCCAAACACTGGACTTCCTGCAGAAGCACTCTGTGAAGGCAGCCTCAGGTAAGCGCTTGCCGAAGCCCGCTCCATCCGTACCAAGAGCCGATTCGTTATACCTCTCTGTGCCTCTGTAGAGGGCACATCCTCCTGATATCCTGTGGCGCCTCCTGGTGGCTGATGATGTGTCCTGCGTGGTGGAGCTGGCAATCGATCGCTCTGAGTACGGCCCTCTTGTGATGCTCAGGGATTAGTACCTACTTACGGAGCACCTTGGCTGGTGATGATGGAAGCTGGACGTTGGCTTTTGATGATACTGTATCTACTTTTGGACAGAGAGGTTGAGTAGATACCTTAGTTCAGGATATCCCAGCATGCATCACTGTACATGAGCTTTTCGGACAGTACCTGGAGTTTAAACCTCCTTGGGTCCAGGTCACAAGAAGCACAGTTCAGTGTGTAGCTGACACTGGAGCTCATGGCCCTGGGCCAGGGGTGTGCAGGCTGCTCTTACAGCTGTGGCACATTAGAGGCATACCAAGCTGTCCTCTGGAGGAGAAGGTGCCCCCTTGATGTCCTCGGAGGCTGTGGGTGGCTCACAGGGAGCCCGTCCCCCATGCCTGCAGGCCACGTCACGTGGGCTTCCCATGTCGCATGTCCAGCGCGGGCGCCCTCCGCCGGTCCCGTGATCGCACGCCGCAGCCTGTCTCTGCAGTTCCGGAACCCCTCCAGCAGGCTCCTCCCCCTTCCCCGTTCCGCTCTATCTGCCCCAGCTGCATTTCTGCCACCCGGCCGCTCCCATCAGTGCCGTCAGCAGCTCCGTGTGCTGCCCCGGCTGCGGTGGAGCTGCGGGAGCCGCAGCAGCTGCGTGTGTCCGACCCGCTGTCATGCCTGCCCCCCATCCCCAGGGTGCCCCGTCTGCTGCGTGCGGCGCTGGCCCCCGGGGGCTCGCTCGGGGTCACAGCACACGGAGTAATTTTGGATGCCCCTCCCTCGTAGCTGGCTGGGAGCCAGATCCTAGCCCAGGCGTTCCTTACGGAACAGGCGGCCTGTGGAGGAAGTGGTGCGCCTCTGGGAAGACTTCCCAGAATGCAGTGCGTGGTTAACTGGACCCTAGAGTAACTGCATGACAGTTTGCTGTGGTAGCCTGTGTTGATCTGCCTCATGGCATCTTCAAGTTTTTTATTTTGATGCTGCTTGGGCGACATAAAATTTTTCACTGCCCATACATTGTACCACAGTTTACGGTATTTTAATGCTCTTCCAGTCATTTGAAAACTTGCCAATACAATTTGCTGGATGGGGTATAACACATTGGCATAATATTAGGCCCAAGCCTGGTTTGGACTCACCGCTAAGCAGCAGTCATGCTTTTCCCGTTGCTGAAACGTGTCGGACGTCTCTGTACCTGGTCGTATTCAAACAGCTTCGTGCATGAAGCCGGGAAGCCGGGCGATTCCCCTTCCGCTCGCTCTCCTCCCCGTGCTGTAATGTCTCACGGCCCATGTGTACGGAGGAGCGCTCCTGCTGTCTCCCTCCATCCTGCGCCTCGCTGCCACCCCCGCATGTCACAGTTTCAGGGTAGCGGGGCATGGAGTGGTGCACAGGGGACCCTGGCATGGCGCCCCCCCGCGGTCCTTAAATGACCCACCGACGTTATCGTGGCCTGACGACTCGACAGCCATTGTCGGCGCCGCTGCGTGGCGGCTTGTGGAGCGAGCTGGTGAAATTGCATTTCTGCTGAAGGCCAGCGCCGCGGAAAGGATTGTACTACCTCCTCTTCCCGTGTACCCCCTGAACAAAAGAGCCCCAGCAAGAATTTAGAAGCCATTATAGTTTTATACAACAACGGCTTAGAGAAGAAAGAAAATCTATTAACTAGGCTCTTGTCAACAAGGCCTTCAGCTGGAGGACCTGGGTCCTGGAGGAGGGAGACTTGACCTCAGCGAGATGTGCAGGTTTGTATGGGCTCAGCACACAGCTGGGATTCTTTGTTGAGGAAATTAAAATGTTTCCCTGAATAGACATCAGTGGCTGGCGCTCGGCTATTTTGGCAGTTATTGTGCAGTATTGATTTTTCATCCACTCTCTTCCTTATAATTATGCCTCTCCCTGGTGGAACCGCCGCACACGACAGGATCGAGGGAGTTGTTTGCGTACCAGAGGCAAAACAAACACATTGTATTGTGTTAATTGAATTTTAAAAGGGAACAAAAAAAAAGAGTTGTCTTGCTGCCAGATAGTAAGGTCTGCGATATTGCGCTCTCTCGAGTAGGTGGGAGCTGTGACTCCATCAGCGGTAACTACGGCAGGCTTTTGACAGACGTCTGTAGCCTTGGTTTCCTGTTTCTGCCCCAGTCCCCCCCCCCCGCCCCCCCCCCAGTAGCTCTGGCCTCCCCCGCCCCGCAGGGCACTCAGGGTGCTGTTTTTACTGCTGTTTTTGCCAAGCTGTATTTGACCCATGTCACATGGGGGTGACGGGGGCCTCTGTGGGCATCTGGCCATCAGACCCGGGGATGCGTCTTGGCCTCTGCTGCATCAACTCCCTGTTTCCTCAGTGTCGCTCCTTTGCTCCTTCACTTCTCCTTGCTCTGAACTATCCTCCATTTTAATGCTCTTGCCGTCTGATAACAAACTTTATTCCTGTGCTGCTGCTGACCTGCAGGTGGCGTAGTTGTTAAGGAGCCATTAGTCTTTGTCGGGTAATATGCCTTAAATCTCCCCGTGGATTTCCAATCTTGGTTAAAGGCACTGTCCCATCCAGCCATCTTCCTGACCAGTGCGCGGCCGCCATTATGATTGATAATTATGATAATTATGCTCATTATGATTATTAAGTTGATTCCTGACGAGGTAATTCTGCTGCCCTTTACAGAGGCTGCCCATTTTCCCATAGAGATTTTATTTGAATTTAGTTTCATGCTTTAAAAATAACCTTTTATATTCCTGGCCAGTGACTTGTATGTGAGCAGTAATACTGGGGCCAGTACGGCTCTGTGTGGGCCGTGATCACATGGGCTCTTTGTGCCCCCCCCCCCCCTTGTGCACATGCTGTGCTCTGGAACCTGTGGACAAAGCTGCCAGCATGTTGATGCTGCGTTTAGGCTGGATGGGGGTGGGGGGTGTGGTCCGTGCGGTGCCCCAAACCCCCCCCCCCTCCTCGCTGCTGCTGAGAGCCAGGTGGTGGAATGAGTCAAGCGTGGAGCCCAGTGAGGGCGACTCGGCCCGTCGCCGCCGTGGGGACGAGAAAAATCTGCTTTTTCCATATGCTGAGGCTGTGCCCCCCCCTCCCCCCGCCCACAGCTCCGTGCAGATGGCAGCGTGAACATTGTTTACCTTGAGTGCCCCTCGTCTCCAGATGCTCCGTGCGGACCCCTCCCCCCCCCCCTCCCCTGTTGCGCACAGCTGGAGTGTCGAGGCAGAGCTTGTCGAACCCCAGACCGGTCTTGCCCCAGATCTTCGAGTGTCTCTCCTCTCCCAGCTTCCCATTCAAACCTTTGCCCCACGTCCTGCTCGGGCATCATAATGTCTGACTGGTTACCTTTACCTGTGACCCGCACAGATGGCGCTATGCTCCCGGTGGGGGGGGGGGAGGGGGTGCTAATGAGCTGCTAATGACAGCAGGCGTCACGCACCGTTAGCATCGCTGCTAAATGACCGTCACTGGCACAGAATGGCTGAGCCGCTCCAACAGCCAGAGGTTTTATTCCGGAGGTGCGATCGCACTGCGGGGCCCCCGCGTGGCCCCCAGGGTGGAGTCCGAGTTCCTCCATGCCTCCGGTGTGGCCCTTGGGGACTCGTGCGCCTCCCTCATCAGCTGCCTGCCTCATCCGTGGCGCAGCTGGGAATAGTGCAGCAGCACTAATAACTGCAGCCTGCCGCCCGTCCAGGTCTGTGGTTCCAGTGAGCCGGAAAAGCGCTTGTCTGTTCCTTTTGGGGGGGCACCGGTGATGGTGTGACGAAGGCGCGGTGAAGCATCACGCGTTAAATCTGGAATTATCTGTGTGCATAGCGTGCCTGTTGAAGGAGCGCCGTGGAAACGTAAGGCTTTGAGGGCAGCTGGTTTGGAGTGTCTTGTGTATAATCTGGGACCCCTGACCCTCCCTGCCCTCGTTACTTCATTGGGGAGCACTCAGGATCGGGGGCCGGGCTCCACGCCGAGGTCCTCGGCTGGCGGGAACGTGTCCAGCTGCCGTCTAGGCTCTTGCTCCGGACTGTGGTCCGTCAACATCTGGGAGCGGCAGACAGGGGGCGCCAAAGCCGCCGTTTCTCCTTTGTCGATCTGTGTCGCGGGTCACGGCCAAGCCGCTGTCCTGCCTTCGCACGTCCTGAACCGTTTGCGCCCCGGTTGAATCTGAAACCTGCAGCTGCTTGCGGCCCCAAACCTTTGTGTGTGTGTGTTGCGTCCCTAAAAGCAGGGGGCCTGTCCAAAGTCATCAAGCTGAGAGAGGAGCCCTCGGAGACTGCGGAGTCCCTGCGAGGGAAGGCGGCCGGCAGCAGCAGCCTTATCCCCGTCAAGGGCATCAGCAACCTGGGAAACACCTGCTTCTTCAACGCAGTCATGCAGGTAGGTGTACGTGGGCCTCGAGCCGAGCCCTTTCCTGGCCCGGATGGGTGTATGATCATAACTTCAATATGGGCCTATAGACGGGAGTTCTCAAGCGCGGGGCAATCTCAGCTGGGGTGTCTGTGTAGTTTGAGGGCACACCCCCAACCCCCCCCTCAAAACTTGCTGTAAACATGTGTCCCTACAGAAATGCCAGCTGGCTGCTTGGAGCAGCCATGATTTAATGGGGCAGCTTAACGCTGGAAAATCCAAGCTGTTACTGGGAGAGTTCCCACCCGAGGCGCTTTTCCAGATCACAGGAAAGGGTTGCTGGCCTCCGCGGCGTTTCTTGTCGGAAGTGCGGCCCTCCGTATCGAAAGCGTCCATCGGGAGCACGGGGAAGCCTCCCCACTCCTGATCCATTACTGTGCCCCCCCCCCCCCCCCAGAACCTGTCCCAGACGCACCTCCTCAACGAGCTGATCCTGGAGGTGAAGGAGAAAGGGCACCGGCTGAAGATCTGCCCGCTTCCGGACGCCAACCTGGTAACGTGCCCCCGGCGTGGCCGCTCCCGCTCGCCTCGCGCCGTCACGCCGTCATGTGACCTCGCGCGTCGTCTCCCTCCGGTCAGGCCCCCCTGGTGGTCACCCTGCCCAGCCCGGAGCCCCTCACTTCCGCCCTGCTGCAGTTCCTCCACAGCATGAAGGAGCCGGGAAAAGGCCCAGTCCCCCCCAAAGGCCTCTTCAACCAGCTCTGCCAGAAGTATGTAGGAGGCCCCACGGGTCGCCGTGTGTCTGCGTCTGCGTCTGTGTCTGTGTCTGCGTCTGCGTCACTGCATCTGTGTCTGTGTTGCTGTGTCTGCATCTATGTGTGTCTGCATCGCTTTTTCTGTGTGGGTGTCTGTGTGCATATGTGTGTGTCTGCATTTAGGTGTCTGTGCATCTGTTTGCATGTGCTAGAGTGTCTGCATCACTGCGTGTGTCTGCATCACTGCATGCGTCTGCGTCTGTATCTGTGTGTGCCGGTGTCTCTCTGTGTGTCTGCGTGTTTGCATGTCTGCCTCCGTGTATGTCTGCATGTTTATCTGTGTCTTTGTGTGCCCGTGTCTGTCTGCGCGTGTCTGTCTGCGCTTGTCTGTCTGCGCTTGTCTGTCTGCGCGTGTCTGTCTGCGCGTGTCTGTCTGCGCTTGTCTGTCTGCGCGTGTCTGTCTGCGCATGTGGCTGGTGTCTTGCTCTGCGCTCATGTCCATGGCTGCACCTGCCGGGACGAGCATTTGGGAGCACGGCGGACATGCTGCACCTGCCGGCCCTCCGCTCCACTACAGAAAACCAACCCCCCCCCCCCCCCCCACCCACACCGCACACACGCACATGCCCAGCTGGTCTGCACACAGCTGCGCAAAGTTTGGTGAAGTATAGTCGCTGTTTGTGCTACCTGCCCTGCAATGTGTTACTGGCTGGATGAGGCCTGTGGGCTCTGGGCTGGGCGTTCGAACCACAGCCAGGAGCAGACCTGCTCCCCCACCATCACGTGACCGATGCACGTAGTTGCTCCCACGTCTGCATTCTCTCCAATGCCTGCTGCTAACTCATGTGCTGCTGATCACAGTAAGGCTGCAGCCAGACTGCACATCCCAGGCCCAGACTGTGCATCCCAGGCCCAGACTGCGCTGGCCCCCTGTCTGGCCCATTTGGATCGGCCTCTGAAGTTCTACTAATGTGGTGCTGACCGCTACCCCCTCACTGTGACCAGTGCCACACTGTGGTACCTTCCCAACTGGCATGTCGAGGCTCCCGGGGGATTAGGGTTCAGCGAAAAGCTTTTCCGCTCCTCATGGTGAGCTGACTGGGTGCTCAGTGCATCCCTGCGACCTGTGACCCAAACCGCAGGTTAGCGTTAATCTCTCTGCCAACAGAGTGCTGGTGGTGTGTGGAAAGTACAGTGGATGTAACATACCAGGTGGCCTTCTCTCTGCACATCTCTCTGCACATCTCTCTGCATGTCTATGTGCACATCTGTAAGCTTCCCTGTGTATTTAAAAATAAGGTATTACACTGTGATGCTTAACTTACCTACAGTTTCAGTGCGTCTGTGTGTGTGTTTGTGTGAGTGTGTGTGTAAGTGTGAGTGTGTGTAGCCGCACTGTGCCTCACAAACACATCCACCAGGTGCAGTGTGCTCAGGTCCTTGGAGCGTATTCACCTTCTGCTTGTGAGTGTCTCTCTCTTGGGGTGTGTGTGTGTGTGTGTGTGTGTGTGTGTCCACCTCCCCCCATTGTCTCTGATTCAGCCCATTCATTTGCATCTCACTCTGCCAGTCTGTGTGTCTCTCGCTCTCCAGGGCTCCGCGCTTTAAGGGATACCAGCAGCAGGACAGTCAGGAGCTGCTTCACTACCTGCTGGACTCCATCAGGATGGAGGAGACTAAGGTGAGAGTCACCCCCCCCCCCCCCCACCCCCCGGCTCCCAGTGTGTGTGGCATTGGTCTGCCGCACGTGCTGCCCTGTCTGCGGCAGCGTGATGCCTGTTCCTGCCCAGCACACACAGGCCCTTTGTCCCCAGCCACCGAGCGCCGTGTCTGGCCAGAGCGGGTGGGGATGGTGGGCCAAGCCGGTCCATTGTGTGCCTGGGAACCACACAGCTGCTTGGGGGCTTTGTGTTCAAGAGCTACCAGCAGGGGGTCCCGGCTGGGGTGATGGCGGCCGTCTCAGGATATACACACACAGCACAGGGTCCCGGCAGGGAAGAGGGCGCCCTCTGCTGATATACACACACAGCACAGGGTCCCGGCAGGGGAGAGGGCGCCCTCTGCTGATATACACACACACAATGCAGGTATGTGAAGAGTTATGGCCAAGACACCCAAACCTGCCCTGTTCTGTCAGCCTTGTGCTCTTTCATGAGTGGCGGCCATTGAACAGGTCTTCTCATTGCAGTCATGTGATCTGTTGTGGCGCACTTACACTTCTTATTAATTCAGACAGAAACATGTACAGTGTGTCCTTGCTGTCATTTCAGGTCCGTAAACTTGTGCTTAAGATGTCACAGCAGGTGCATCTTTTCATGATGTAAATTTCATTTTCTTCTGTTGTCATGTTCTGTAGCGCATCAAAGCCGGCATCCTGAAAGCATTTAACAACCCCACGGAAAAGACGGCAGACGAGGAGACCAAGAGGCAAGTGAAAGGTAGGCTGGCAGCAGCCATCGCACTCAAGCATGTACCAGTGGCGCCATCTGGTGGCTGAGGACTGTAAAGCTGTTAAAAGCCATCAGTAAGAGCAAAGTCATTCTGAACAGCTAGAAAAGCAGTCAGAGTGGTGACATCTGGATGTCGTTCCTTCTCAGCCTACGGGAAAGAGGGGGTGAAGATGAACTTTGTGGACCGGATCTTCGTCGGCGAATTGACCAACACCATCATGTGTGAAGTGTGTCAGCATGTGGGTATCTGCTGTTTGTTAGCATAACTGCGGATTTTCTGATAATTTCTAGCGGTACGATGAGTGTTTGGTTGGTGTTTTTCTTTCAGGACCATTAATGTATCAAAGGTGTGACTTGTGGTAACGGGGGGCTGCACAGGGACAATGTGGTGGAAAGGGGGGGGGGGGGATCAGTGACAATAATGTGTGCTGGTTTCCCTAGATATCCACCGTGAAGGAGGCCTTCATAGACATCTCCCTTCCCATTATCGAGGAAAGGGTGAGTGAACCCCCCCCCCCCCAAAGTGACTCCTCATGTCCATGTGACCGTCTTTAATTATTATCATGCTTATTGTCAGAGCTCCAAACCCACCAACCCAGCGAGAAGCAGTAAAGGCAGCCGGGAGCTGGAAGCGCTGCTCCCCCGTGGCGATGAGACCCCCATGCCTCCCCAGGTCAGGAACGGCAAGAGGCCGGGCTCGCAGGTAATACCTGCGCTACCTGCAGGGGGCGTGCTTGGGCAAACTGACTGGCAGTTGGCTGCAGCTCTGTGTGTGTGTGTCTGTCAGCAGGTCAGTAGGTGCCTTGGGGTCCTGGGGGAGAGAGGCACCGACAGGAACCTTGGCCGCCAGGAGGAGCTGGGCGGTACGGCCCGGGGGGGCGGCTCAGGGGCCAGCGACAGGGACACGGGGCTGGAGGATAGCAGCAACGACGCAGACAGCGAGGCCTCTGAAAGTGAGTCTTCCTCCCGACTCCCGGGGGGCACCGTCTCCAGCCCGGCCTCCCTGAAGGTCCAGAAAGGGGGCGCCGTCCAGCAGCTGGTCAGTGCCGTTTCCAGGCTGGGCCTGGGCCCCGCCTGCGGCGAGCCACCTCCCTCGCACCTCCGCGGGGAGGAGCAGCCGCTGCCAGAGCGGCACCACCAGGGGGCATTTCAGGCGCTGTCTCACAGCTACACACCGTACTCCAAGGAGTGCTCCATACAATCCTGCCTGCACCAGTTCACCTCCGTCGAGCTCCTCATGGGGAACAACAAACTGCTGTGTGAGAACTGCACGGAAATGAGGCGGCGGCAGCTACGGCGGAGCCCTACAGGTAGGGGGCGATCTGCACCCAGCACCCTCATGAGGTCACCTTGACGACCGCGGTACAGCTCACAGACGGGCTGATATTGGAGTCTGATATTTGGGTTGCTTTCTAGGGGACAAAAAGACTGAGAAGGTTTACACCAGTGCCCGGAAGCAGATGCTGATCTCCATGCTGCCCCCAGTGGTCACTCTGCATCTCAAACGGTTCCATCAGGTCAGCGAGACCCTCCAGCAAAGGCCTTCCTTCCAGCCTTTGGTTGACATCTGCTGTCTTTTAAATGTGGCGTATAAATAAAGACGACTTCCACACACACTGACACTGTTTGCACTGGTGACTGATCTCTGGCTGCGTTTGCTTTGGTCTGTTCAGGCAGGAGTAAGTCTGCGCAAGGTCAATCGGCACGTCGATTTTCCCCTCGTCCTGGACCTGGCCCCATTCTGCTCTGCATCCTGCAAGGTACCAACGACCCCTACAGACCAGAGCCTGTCCCCCATCTGCCAGCAGGCCCTAAGTTTCCATTTCTAAGTTGTCTTCATGTGATATCAGCGGGCCATCTTAATCTCACACGTTCACGTCTGCAGAACATGGGGGCGGGCGAGCACGTGCTGTACAGCTTGTATGGGATCGTGGAGCACAGCGGGTCAATGCGGGGGGGCCACTACGCCGCGTACGTGAAGATCCGCTCACCTCAGCGCCGGGCCAGCCTGTCAGGTGAGGTCTTCGAACCCGGGTTCCCATCACCAACCATTATCGCATATCAGGAGAGCGTTGGTCTTGCTGATCAGACCTTCAGCCTGCAAGGTAAAGGTTAAGTCCTTTGCAGTGAAGATTTGACCAATAGGATGCCACCCTCCCCCCAAAGAAAAACCATACCCTAACCTTCCCTGAGGCACAAACATCACAGACATCTGCAATGGCGTGTCCTGCATAGGGTCATTTCCCTGGCAGTGCTCACTGCTCTTTCCAGTAGGGGGCCTCCTTGAGCGCATTAATGTATCCCCACTCTCTGCAGGTCCCAGGGAAGGCGGGGGCTCGTCGTCCGGCCAGTGGGTGTATGTGAGCGACACCAGCGTCCAGGTGGTGGCCGAGTCGAGAGTCCTCGGCTCTCAGGCCTACCTACTCTTTTACGAGGAGCTGCTGTAGGCTGCCCAAGTGCCCAAGCTCCTGTCAACCCCAGAGAGAGACTCCTGCGGGATCGTGCAGGTCCCTGCCCCTAGAAGAGCGCCCTGCACTGGCCAGTTACTCCTACAAAAACAGACAGGAGCGATGGATCTCAGCTGTGAGGGACACGTTCGACCTGTGCAGTGCATGCTGGGATCTCTCCTTCAGGGCTTATGTGATTCAGACGGCGCCTTTAAGTAAAGCCTGTCTTTATGCTGACTGGCGGCCATGGCGGGGATTAAAGGTGCCCTCTCTGTCTCTCTGGTGCACAGAGAGCCCTGCCTGTAGTTTACAGAATGAGGTGCTGCTGTGAAAATAATATCGTGGGTTATTTTGGAAGAATGTATGCATGTGTGTCATTCGTTGTCTGTGCCTAGTGTGTGTGCTTCCAGATGGCACCACAGCGCTGGTATCTATCCGGCTTCAAGACTCTGCTGCTCCTCACACGGTTCTGCTGTCTCCTGTTGGCTCTCGCCATCCATATTCCTCCTGTTACTCAGGGGCACTGACCAGCAGACACAATGCAAGCTTGCAGAGCAGTTTGGTCATTAATTTATCCATTTATTCAAAGTCTAGATGGTTCTGATTTTTATTTTATTTTTTACATTAAATCACCAGTATCTGATGCAAAAAATAATTATCTACAGATTATTTTGGAAAGGAATGTATCTGGTAACTTGTGTTCAGAGCTGTCTTCTCCCTGCTGTGTTATTATATATAATTTGACAAAAATGTTCTTCTAACTTGCTAGTGATTCTTTGCCAGTAAACAAGAGTTAATTACCCACTGGACAAACATGAAATGGAAGGAGATGATGGGCATTTTTGCTCTGGCCTCATGCTGCTTGTGTGTCACCCAAAGGTTCTCTGTGATCTTGAATACTCAGCACCTTTCCTTATTGGTTCCTTTTTTTTTTGGCCACACTGCTTCCTCCTTCACGGCTGAATGTTGTCTTCACTGCAGAACAGTTTTTTTTTTTTTTTTTGCTCTGAAATCCCAGCTTTTAAAATTCCACGTCTGTTTAAAAATGCTTGAATTCACAGCTTCCGTGTGCTGCCTCATCGCTCTTTGCCAAGCAGACAGCCCTGCGAACTGGAGAATGTTTATCGTCCAAATCTGCAGGATTCCGTGTCTGTCGGTACACTCAGTCGGCACACGTTACGGCGTGGCGCCTCTGATCTGCCGCGACTGCAGCCGAGCCGTGCTGTTTGGGGACATGTCTGGAGCTGGTGCAGGAGAGGTGGGTGTGGATGGAGGAAAAGGGCACCGTCAGAAAAATCTCATGCACTGCCACACGCGTCAAACCAACGCTAACGGTCCAGCATGGTGTCGGACAATGGCTAAATCTTTCAGACGTCTATTTATAAATTTAGTATGCCAAGGGATGTTTTTTCAAAGGTTAAAGATGATCTGTTATGCACGGCCTGCTTGTCTTGATTAAATGTGGGCCCTGGGGCCATTGTGCATACCCAGTCCGATCTTAGCGCCTCTCCCTGGATGCAGCAGCAGTGCTCTGTTAGGACACATTTTCCACTCAGCGATGGGTCCTGCTCAAAGTCTGCCTGCAGAGCAGTTACCGGGACCGTCCTCTCAAGGCTGAGCCTACGAAGGATGAGCTCATTAAGAAAAGTGTCGGATTTTTCTGAAACGACTCCTGAATACGGCCAGTGTTGGAGACAGCTGAGGTTTGTAGTGTGGTAAATAAAAGGGGAATATGAAACAAAGGGAAATGAAAAGAGCTCTCTTGGGTTGTGAAAAGTGTGTAAGACTGTTTCAGTGTCTCAACCAGTCTAGAGCCCTCCACAAAAATAAGGTGTTTTTCATTTTTCAATCAAGGACACATTCCGATGTTTTTCCAGAAGACAAGTCCTCACAAACCAGGTGGTGCCATATGAAACCAGTCAGTCCATGTTGAAAGTCACAAAGTGTAGGAACAGCAGCTTCACTGAGATTCTCAGATCTACCCATAATGTGTGGTGTCCATTTCATAGCCTGGCACGGGCTCTAAGCCTGGAGCTTGGTGTGTCAAGTCACGGTAGGGGCTGTGCTGTGATACTCTTCATCTGTATTTCCAAATCTGTTCCTCTGGGACCCACAATTAGTCCATATTTTTGCTCCCTCTGAGCTCCCTGCCAGACAGTTCACATCTTTGCTCCTGGGAGGGAGCAAAAACATGAACTGTCTGTGGGTGCCTGAGGACTGGATTGAGAAACACTATGCATCAGCAATAGGCTTGACCAAAACTATTTTGGTAGAACAGCCTCAAAACTGCCAACCCTTAAACAGCAGCTCTTTCGTTTTTATTATGGTTCAGACCACCATTTCCACTAAGTACAGGTGGGGGCATACCTTGAAATTCTGGGTGCTACAAAATGTCACCTAAGCCCCCCCTCCCTCCACTATGGTTGCCATTTTTAATCAAAATAAATACAGGTCCCTCACAATTTTCCCAAGGTTATAAAGTGTTATTTTCCATATTCAGGGGTCCCTGCTGCCCCCCTGTATCTGCAAGGGAATCCAATGCCCCTTTGATGCCTCTGAGTACAGAGGCAATTTTTCGTCACATCTGGGGTACACATGAGCACAGGAGGTGACACATTTTAACTTGCATGCAGCTATCATGCAACCATGAAAACGTGTCGCTCCATAAATCATGCTAAGGGAAGAAACAAAGAGCCAGGTTTTCCATCAGTGGGAGGTACAAAGAGAAGTAGATGGCTAATTGTAATGACGCTCTCAGAAACTCCTGCAGTTCAAACAGAGAAGACAGTGATGCGCACTCCAGACTCATTAACACGGACAGAAAGGCTAGTCTCTAAGGGCAATTTTCAGTCATTTCTTAGGCTCCACCCAACTTCGGTAACTGTGTCTATGCCAGTAGTCACCTGACTTCCCTTTCACCTGATGCACATGTGATGAAAATGGCCTTTCAGAAGTGTCATGCTCATAGTTGCAAGTGTTTATTCATGTGGCTAAATACCAGTTATTAACTATTAAAGACCCTGCCAAATCCCTGAATTTAGTTGCCAGCTGATTATCTCCCCATTTACTGAAATTCAGTATTCTGTATTTACTTTTTGGTTCATGCAAAGAATGTTAATTTGGTATTGGGTGAATTTTGCGTGAAAGTTGCAAGAACACTTGCACGAATCTGGTGGACAAAACTGAGGCAATTGAAAGGAAAACGTTTATCTAGAAAGACACTGCATGGCGCACTGAACCTAACAGGCACTAAAGCATGTACCTGACTTACGTGTCCCGACTCCCAAGTGAGGCACATAATCGTGCAGAGGGCGGTGTCCCATTTTATTCGATTCCGGTCCATTGTCTTAGTACTTCCGGGCTGTCGCTCTTGCCGCCATCTTGTCTGCGACGCGGAGAAGAAGCGGCTTCAGGAGGTAGGTGTTCGTTGTGTTTCATGTCGGACTCAGCTATCGGTCGTACGCCTTATGGTCAGGTTGTTTTTTTTTCCCCAGAGAAGTTTTAAAGCATTTTTATCCGGATCGTTTGACTTCTGTGCGGGTGTGAGTGACAGTAAACCCGACGGCTCTATGCCGTGCGTTAGCAATAGCAGGGCCTGTGCTAACTGGGGGGGGGGGACCGGGCTAGTCGGAGAAGGTAACTAATCCTCTCAATCGCACATACGACCTTTAACGTGGTTAACAGCGATCGCCGTGGCTTAAGCCGCCTAATTAGCTGGTGTGTAGCGCCTTTATCTGGACGGGCGGGTAAAACGCACGGCAGCTATATGAAGAGCGGTGACCACAGCCAGCTACGTCGCTAAACAACAAATTTTTAATATCTTAAAAGAAACACTATGTGACGGAGGAATTGAAGATTGGCTGTCAGGTAACCAGCAATAAATGATGTCGCGTAGAAAAAAAAATAGGATGGTCTGAGGATGAGATGATCTGAAGAACAGCCGGTAAGATGTTCTGATGATCTGATGGTCTTCCAGGCAGAAATGTGGGATCAGGGTGGACAGCCCTGGCCGCAGTGGCCTTTGAGCCAGCAGCAGTGGATGCAGTCCTTCCAGCACCAGCAGGACCCAGGTGAGCCTCCACTGCATCTGCATGTCTCATTGGGTATCCAGAAAAATGAGGCATTTGCTGTAGGGACCTGCCTCATCATAAGGTCCAGATACCAACCACTGCTCCCAAATCTGCTAAAATATTACCATCTAATTTTTTAATGGAGAAGCCAATTTGCACTAACACTGTGGGTTGGCTATTAAAAAAAAATGTGAGGGAAATCCTAAATTACCTAGCACAAGTAATTCAAAGCAAAAAAAGTTGTGGGAAATATCTGGTGGTAAAAACATTACAAATATAAAAAGGATCATCATTAAAAACTGAATGTTGTGGGAGTGGTAAAGCACTAACGCTTACTGTACGAGTTCCTGGGGTTGAGACAATAAGCAGTATGGTAGGAATAATTATAGGGAGATAGTGGGACCTCTGGCTGATGGACTCTGTCTTTGCTCCAGGCCAGGTGGACTGGGCAGCCCTAGCACAAGCCTGGATAGCGCAGAAGGAGTCTGCAGGACCCCCAGTGGAGCAGCCGAGCCAGCAGCCCAACGGGCAGGATGTTCAATCCCTGGAACCGGCTCCGAACAGCCACGGCTCCTTCCAGGGCGACTCGGCCTTCAACCGAATGTGGCAGCCAGGTTTGCTCTCTCTTTTCTCTCGCTATTAGTGCCTTGGGACCTGAAGGGCTCTATCTCACTGGTGTTCGCTTGTGATCTGTAAGCCTTCTGGGCCAGCTATGTGGCACGGACCTTTGTAGGGCGACTCCAGAGTCATTTTACAGTTTGCATGAAGATTATATATTTGTGGTTTTGCACTAGCACTTCCCATTTAATATATTTCTGTTTATTAGTTCTGTAAAATGCCATTATGGTCAACAGAATGAGATCATGACTTTCTGTCTTTTATCAAATGCGTTCGGAAAAAACGTCAATGAGTTAGGATGACACTTGTTGTAGCCCTAATTCTGGTAAGTTCATGTTTATTCAGGAGTGTCAGGTGTCTTAGAATTGCTAACTGTTTCAGAGATGATCTGATCTGCTGTCGATACATTAAACATGGCAAACATAATTTTTTAATGGCAGAAAGAATACAGCCTATCAGTGATGAGCTGCACCCCCACCCCCCAGATTGGAATATGCATGGCCCTCCCCCAGAGCAGGCATGGCTCCCCCAGGGCCCAGGGCCCATGGATGTTGTCACCCCTTCGGAGGACAGCAACAGCCAGGACAGCCTGGAGTTTGCACCAGATTCCCACCAGGGGGGGTTCCCACAGAACAGCCATGGTTTCGGGGGCCAGTCAGACAGCTTTTCCATGACGCCCATGCCTGTCAACCAGTTTGACTATCAGGTACGCAGTATATGATGGGCCTGGAGATGGTGGATTTATGGGGAAGGGGGTCCCGGCCTGTCGAAGGAGTGGTGGGTGACTTTTCCTCTTCTTCCAGCATGGGGCTGCTGCCTTTGGCCCCCCTTCTACAGGGTTTCCTCCTCCATACTGGCAGCAAGGGCCTCCCCAGAATCGACGGGACCGGCCCCCAGGATTCAGGGAGCGCCAAAGGTCCCCTCTTCAGATGCCCAACAAGCAGGAGCCCCCAGCCTTGGGTGAGCGTCGCAGGCACCCCGGTCCGCATGCGTCCAGCTCTCGCTCCTCGCTCCTGTACTGACCGTGTGCCGGCTTCGGTCCTCAGACGCAGTGAAGCGGCGGATCCTCCCCGCCTGGATTCGCGAGGGTCTGGAGAAGATGGACCGCGAGAAGCAGAAACGGCTGGAGAAGGAGAGGATGGAGAAGCAGCGGGCGGAGATGGCGAGAGAACATAAGAAAGAGGAAGACGCAGCCGAGGAGGAAGGCGATGGCCCGAGGCTTCCACGCAAGAGCAAGTTTGTAAGTGGAGCGAGACAAGGGGCCATGAGTCACTGGGGAAGGTGGGGAAGGTGCAAGACCAGCTTGGATTCCCCTTTTATTTGGGGTAACTCCCTGAATCTCATCTGTGCAGGACAGTGACGACGAAGAGGAGGAGGGGGGTGAAGAAGAGCAGGCCCCCACCAGGAAGCCCGAGCTCGTAAGGAGCAGTCCGTCCCCATCCCACGAGGGGCAGAGCGAACCAGAGATGACGGAGGAGGAGCGAGAGTACCAGCTGGTCAGTTGGTCATGTGATCAGAATCTGCGTGCTGATCCTCCTGCCTGTTGTAGCGCTGTGTTCTCCCCCAAGACGGACGAGGTTTAAAGTGCTTCCTTTCGTGTTTCCTGCAGATACTCCTGACAAAGACTTTGCTGACGGAAGTGTTGCTGGAAGTGACCACTGAGGAAATCTACCAGGTGGCCCGGGAGACTCATCGCAAGGCTACCAAAGGTACGAGCCCCCCTGCTGCTGTCCATGTGAGCCTGGCCAGGCGCCCTGACATGTAGCATGCAGTTCAAATGGACACAGTCTTCTGAGCTACCAATCAGCAAGGCGCCTGTGTGTGTTTCCTTAGCCATTCTCAGCTAACGTAAAACGACAGGTTCAGAGGAGCGAAGGGGGAGGAGCCAGCGGCGAAGGCCTGGCGTAAAATGAACCCTCCACTGAACTCGACGTGCCCTGTAGATATAGCCCCCCCCCCCCCTCCCCACCCCACCCCAGTGACTCTTGGACAAGAACGAAAGTGCATTACGACAGAGTGGTGCGCCCTCTGCTGGGCGGACAGTGATTTGCATGTCGAAAGAGGACTGTGTTGCTAATTGTCTCTTCTCTCCTTTGCAAGGCAGCTCTGAATAGCCCCTTGTATCTGTGCCCCCCTTCTCTGTAGAGTCTTGCCTTTGAAATGGTGGCTATATGTTTTAACATGTTGTTCCTGTTGTGAATGAAAGCGCCTGCCAAACAGATCGCACAGTCAAGTGCACTGGCTTCTCTGACCGGCCTCGGTGAGTGGGTCCTCGTCCGGAGGGGTGGAACTGGGGGGAGGAGGGGTGGGGA